CCCCAAAACCCCAAAACCCCGTGGATACTCTAATTTTATCTGATAATCAATTAAATTATATAGAAGTAATAAATCTCTTGATAATATTTAATTTATTTTATTAAATTAATTTTAATTGTTTCTCATTCTTATTTCTATTTATTAGAAACTTTACTTTTCTTTTTACTTTTCTCCAATTTTTTATCCTAAGGTTATTATACCGCATCTTATTTTCTGAGTCTTTCATTTTCCAAATGCTATTTAGCCTCTTCATACGTTCTCTAATCCAAAATGACAATCTCTACTTTTCTGTAAAGGTTTAAACTCATCAAGAAAATAGCAACTCCTACTAAGATTTGAATAACTGGCCATTCTTTTTACATAAAATGAATTTTAGCATTGGGGTCTTTGTTATATATAGCAAATTTGTTACCATTTATATACTCCTCAAGTTATTCTTTTTAGATTGCAGGACTGAATTCATTTTTGAATTATCTTCTCCACCAATTTTAAGGAATATATTTATCATCATCAGTCTTCATAATATACTTCACGAAATCTCTATCTATTTTATTCTACAAATAAGGAATACTTTTTACAATATCTCCAACTCCAAAAGTTACACCTTCATCCTTATAATTACTAAAATGGTAGTGAAATAAATCAATCTTTAAGTATTTTGGTGCTTTGTTTGGGAAAGGATTTTAAGAAAAGAATGTTTTCGCATGAGTATCATTGTTCAATATTTTGTAGATAAAATGAATCAAATAATAGTCTTGGAAATTAAAAACATTCAAAGCTGAGAACCATAATTGCCAATCTAATCTTGGCTAATGTGGAGATACTATTAGCGGAGCTTGATCAATTTTTCCTGGCTTATAATTGAAAGCATATTCCTTCCAATTCTATTAATCATCAGAGCCATAGAAAATAATTTCAGGTCTACCACCCACTCCAGTCATCCTTCTGAATAGACCATAGGAATTTGCTATTTAGAAATTTGAGAGCAGCTAATGCATCTCTAAACCCACTTAACTCTTATAATTTCTAACGTTCTTTGGTTCTACCTGAATACCTTTGAGAAAAACGAAAGTTTAAGCCAAGAATACTATATACATAAACAACATTATTGTTGTAAAACTGATTGCAGTTGTCATAATTTTTACAATAGCATCTCTATTTTTAGAAAGCCATCTCATACTATCAAAGACAACAGTCGTTAAGCTGAAAATTATAAAAATCAAATAAGTATAAGAAGCATAGTCTGGATTCTAAATAAATGCTTATAATTGTTCAAAAGTGAAGTTTATTTTCCCTTTTACTATCAAATGATATGGAAAAAGTTGATAAAAACTATAAAGAAACAAACCCTATATTTCGCATATTAATAAAAACATTTTTACAAGTAGATTGTAGGATATCGCTGATCTTATCATATCAAATGCCCTAAAAAATAAACTCTTTTCTTCTTCATCATCAGCTTCAATAAAATAATCCAAAGGTATACTAATTTTCAGAAGCCTATATACCCAAGTTGGAGTAAATGCAAAAATGAATTTGTCATCAAGAACAATCATATCTCTAGAAATTTAAAATTTATAATCTTACAAAACTATCGTTAGGAAATTGAAAAAATTGTAATTTCCTGTTAAGATTATAATCCACATGAATGCAATATTCATTAAAGAGGCAAATATTCTATGGGAACGAAAAGGGGAGTAAAATAGGAAAGGCAAAAATATTTCAACTAAATACGTCATAACTACTCCAACTTTAAGGATGATATCAGGAAGTTAATGAGCATACCAGCTTAAAATATGCGGGAGTGGTTATGTTTCAAAATGATAGTTCAATGCTGTTAGTCCCCACCAAGTTTTACATTTGCTTTAGAGTTTAACTATTCCACTTGCAAACATGAGTCTAAAGATTAGATATCTTAATACTTCTCTCACCAATGATGTTGATGGTGAAACATTGTATAGCTTTGTGTGCCACAATGGTGCAAAGAATATTGAAAGAAATCCAGCTTCCAATAATAAGATATCCCACTAGAAACTCATTGTTTTATCACCAGCACTATAGTGAGAAAGGTATATAAAATATAGTGTTATATAGCTGAAGCTATTCATTAATATGCTTGGTCTTCCTACAAATAAAAGTAGTGAAAGTATCATTGCCCAGAGTGTAATTATACTGAGGAAGGAGTCTATTGGCCGAAAGCTTTCGAAGGCAGATGGCAAAATGGGCATAATGTAATCATTAAAATAAGGTTAAAACCATAAAAAGGAAGGTAGTGTCAAGTATTTCTACAAGTAAACATTTAAACCTATAAAATCAAGATTCTCATAGATTATATAATACCTCCTGATTTAGATTCTTCTGGAAGTTTCTGCATGATTTGAGGTTCGATTCTTTTTAAATACCACTATAAAAATATAAAGTCTGCTAAATACTTGTGAAGGAGTTATGCCATAGAAACCCCAGATTGTAGGAATTTAAAAATAGTATGAAGAAAAAGCAAATAAGTAAATTAGGGCCATTAGTCTTAAGAAAAATACTCTCACGAGTACAAAATCATTTTTAAGGATCATTTTAAATTTAAAAATTTTAATTTTAAAACAAACGATACTTTCAAAATGTATGAGCTAAAGGATCTCAATAGTCTAGATGTAAAGTTGAATTTTCTTTAATGTGGCATAGATGAGTTTAGCTAGACCTCGGGAATTAGAAGATAACTTTCTGGACTGTAATTATACCTATAATGTAATTAGATTTGCTATTTAGAGTTTGGAGGGTAGTATGATAATCTAGCATAGATTCCTTGATTATCTTAGCATAATAAAAATAGAATAGTGCATAGTCGAAGTAAATCAAGAGTAAAAGTTAGATAACATAAATTGATTAAATTTAAGGGCATTGATGTGAGGGCATAGTAAAACGATCTGTTTGGAAATCTTAAAGTTAGCAATTTCATGTTCCTTGTCATTCTAGGAGCATCAACAGCTCTAGTATGTTATTTGCAGGACTTGATTATTTTTGAAAGCCTCACATGTAATATATAATTTACTTATTAGCAGTAGCTCATTCAATAATTTAGTTAAGAATAAACTTGCACATAACGATACGTATAATTATTGGATAAGATATGCATGCTGGATATTGTTCAATTACACTTGTATTATTTTTTGTGCATGTATCGGGTAAATAAGAATAGTATTATATTTATATCTTTAGAGAATACTATAGTAGAGATTCAGAAGGGTCTAGTCTCCCTGAGATGAAGGCTGTTCTTGCTGGGGTACATATAAGCACATTTTTATCAATAAGAGCTTTTATTGGGAAATTAGTAGGTGTCACTGTAGCTATAGTAGGAGGTTTATCTTTGGGAAGATATGGATCATTTGTTCATATGTCAGGAGTAATAGCCCACTAAATGTCCTATCGCATAAAATTCTTCCAGAATATCGGCTCAAATTATCAACTTAGGCTTTAAGTTATATCAGCCGCGATAGCTGCTGGCACTTGCTGTTCAGCTGGTAGTCCTTTTGGTGGAGTAATTTTCGCTCTTGAACTTACTTCTACTTATTATATGATGGGAAACATGTGGAAAGGACTGCTTTGCACAACTGCAGCTATTATAACTTACTCATTAATGCATCAATTACCTTTTGTAAAGCCACCTAAATTGACTGACTTTGAAGAATATACTTTTAATCATGAGATAATATTCTTTATTATACTTGGATATCTATGCGCAAGAGTGGGGGCACTTTTCATTCATATTCTAACTAAGATAATATTCTTGAGGGGGAAACTAAAAAATCCTTTGCTTTTGAATAGATGGAAGTGGTGCTCAATAGTTATTTTATTCATTTCGATCATTTAGTTTCCATTAAGGTTCTTACACTTTCCTGAAAGATAAGTATGGAATGTAATGTTCAATTCTCATTAAATTTCTGAAGTTCAGAGTAAGATACAGTAAATTATTTGATCAGTTTATAGATGGCTAAGTATGGAGCAATCCTAATTTAGAATTGGTCTTGCTTGTTTATTGCATTTTGAAATTTATTTTCATTGTTTCATCATTAACACTTCCATTACCTAATGGAATCTTTGCCCCTATGATATCTTTTGGCGCAGTATTTGGAAGATTATTTGGTTATTTAATAAATTTGATTGGCTAATATTATGGCTTAGAATTAATAACTCGTAAGTTTATTTTACCCTTTATGAAAAATAGATGAAGGGATATATGCTGTTGTGGGAGCAACTTGCGTTTATGGATCAGTTACAAAAACAGTATCTATTGCAATAATTATATTTGAGGTAACTGGATAGATAACTCTTCTTGTACCTGTAGTGATAGGTTTAAGTGTAGCTTATGCATCTTCTTAAGCAATGACAATGAGTATATTTGATGTTCTTCTTGAATTCAAGAATTTCCCATTTTTACCAACACTTGGTGAAGGAGATACTATTCATTTGAAGGCTCGTGATATAATGAATAGAAACTTTGTATACCTAAGAGAAGATTCTGAAATTAGAGAGATAAGGTAAATCTTAGATAAGTTAGGTGATAAGAATATAACTATACCTGTTTTAAATGAAAAAAATCTTATCATTCACACAGTTTAGACATTGAATTTAAGAAATTACCTCAATTACCAAGGAAAATAGTAAGATATTTTTAGCTATATAGTTTAAATTTAGAATTAAATTTATGGTACATTTCAACTCTCTTAGAGATATCAAAGAATACATATCGAATCCTTATAGAGACATCTTAACCTAATTTGAGGACTTTAACTATGATCCAAAGAACTATATTGAGTATGAAGAACTACTTTCTCTTGAGAAAAAATTACAGGCAGATCTACAAGTAGAGGAAAATGAATTAAGTTAATTAAAATTATGCTAAGTCTAGATAATTAAAAGCTTTTGGACAACTTAGATTAACTATGAAGATAATATTCTTAATATAAATAGATCGCCCACTATTATATACTAGGATACTCCTCTTATAAAACTACATTTCTTGTTTATTATGCTTAATGTAAACACAGTATTTGTAGTGAAAGGAGGAGTGCTCAAAGGTTTGATTAATAAGATAGAGTTTGTGAAAAAGAGGAATGCAAATTAGAGATAGCATTAACTTATTCATCATCAAAAGGATCAATTAAAATAGCAATATATCTTATAGAATGGAGTTGATGATTTGAACAAATTTTTTAATTGAGAATACTTTATTAACATGATTTAATGCTATTGGGGTTTTGGGGTTTTGGGG